CCATTCCAAGTTTACACTAAAAAAATATTATGTACAACTGAGGATTGTCATGTATTGCCCCATATTTTGATTGTTACCGTTTTTGCTTTTCCCGTGTAGGTTGAACTTCCATTCTAAAGGTCCTCTTTTTGAACCCTCTCCAGAGAAAACAATCTCCAGTCTTCTGTTGAATGAGAGTGGGTTGTAATCTAGCACTGAATTGAGAGAGAGGGTCCAGGTATCTAGCTGCTCCTCAAACAGTAGTCACACAAATCCTCCCTGGCTTAGGGTATCTTTGGCTTTCTAGGGTCTCTTTAGTTGATTATTACTCATCTATTTACTATTCTGCTCCTAAAATTGTGTGCCATTTTCTGTCTTTTCTCTGTGACCTTGTGGATTTGTTTAAAAATAACAAAAACAAAAGCACATTTTTTTACTTAGTGTTAGGTAAGTTTGGGGGAGGGAGTGAAACTGGATAAATTGTATTGTGGAAAGTATTAAAATGTAGGTTATAAGAAACAAAATGCCCTTATGGTAATATCACTAACTAGAGATAACTATTACTGACATTTTGGAGTATGTCCTTTTAGTCTGTGTGTGTGCTGGCCAGGTAGAAATTGGATTCTGTCATATACAGGTTGAGTGTCCCTAGTCTGAAAATCTGAAATCTGCAACTTTTTGAGCACAGACATGAGGCTCAATAGAAATGCTCTTTGGAGCATTTCAGATTTTCAGATTTTCAGATTAGGTATGTTCACCCAGTAAGAATAATGCAAATATTCCCAAATTGGAAGAAATCAGAAATCCAAAACACTTCTGGTCACAAGCATTTCAGATAAGGCATACTCAACTTGTATATTGTTTATGGGTTATTTTCTGTTTGTTAGCATGCCAAGACCTGTAAATGCTATTTTCACACAAACTGTTGTGCATTTATTTTCTTTTGTGGTCCATTGACACTTTCAATCTTATTTTTACACCAGTACCACACCAGAATAACTATTTGAACAAAGAAGACTTACATGACAAACACTCCTTTAAAAAAAAATGCGGCAGCTGCCTTTATTCTAAGCTGCAGTCTTAATATTATTCTGTGCCCTGATGCTAATTTTAAAATTACCTGTACTTCATTCTGCCTTATTTCATCCAGCCTGCAGATGGCAGACTTGTTTTATTTGAAAATCAATTTTAAAGGTTCAATTGTATTTAGTGAGTTCCTGCTTTGAATTGAGAGGCAATTAAATGAGTAGTCTTTCTCCCTGTTAGAGAAAAAGCAAATTAATGTTAGGGACGGAGAGGCACACTAAGAGAGTACTGAGTAATTTACTTCTTCATTTGGTCTATCTTCATTTCATGATTTTTGTGCTTGGATTATAGTTCTATAAATGAACTAGAGCGTGACACTTCAGCTTTACCATATGTAAACTGCCGAATTTCCTTAATTACTTTAGTCAGAGTAATGGAGCTTAGATTTGCTTCATATTAACCATAAAGCAATTTGTTCTGCATTTGTATTTTAAGAGTTTGCTTGTGTTAATTTTTTTTTTTAATCTAGAGACCTTTTAGAGTTCATGTATAAATCATCAATTTAAAGCTTTGATATAATTGAGTTCGCTGAAGTGTGAGTGTTCTTAGGATAAAAGAAATATTTTAGGGAACAAGAAAGTAGAATTAGATTAATGTACCATATTTGGAATTGAAGGAGGAATTATACTGTAGAAAAATTGGAAGAGCAGATTTGAAGAAATACAGGAATTGCTTAGAGGAGCTACTATAAAATTCAGTGATTGATAGATTGCTTGTGTGGCTGGTATGGCAGGGAAAGTAACAATATACTAAGCAAAAATTTTACTTTATTATTTCATTCTGTTGACAAAAAAAGATTAAAAGTTCTAATGATTTGTGTGACTTTCCAAATTACTGTGTTTAAATATAAACTACCGGACATATAGATTACCACAGCCATCTTAAAATTTTTTAAATTATGTTTTGTAACTACTATAGAAGAGCGGACTTTAT